ACAAAATATCAACAAAGCTATTGTGGTATTGAACAATGCCCTAGATCAAATGGACTTAACTGCTATGTACAAAAACTTTCATGCAAAAGAAGCAAAATTCACATTCTTTTCAAATGCATATGGAACATTTTTTATGATAGACCACATTATAGGACACAAAACAAGCGTCAAAAAATAAAGATAAATTGAAATTATATCAAGCACTTTCTCCAAACACAAAGGACTGTAACTAGAAAACAACATAAGGAAAAAAAGCACTCACTCAAACTCCTAAAGATTGAATAAGATGCTATTAAACAATCAATGTGTCCAGAATGAGACCAAGGAAGAAATCAAAAAGTTTCTGGAAAGAAATGAAAATAAATTCACAACAACCCAAAACTTGTGGGACACAGCAAAGGCAGCCATGAGAAGCTATACAGGACTACCTAAAAAAGATAGAGACATTTTAAATAAACAACCTAACCCTTACCTACAAGAAGTCAAGAAACAGCAACAAAGACAGCCTAGACAAAGTAGAAGGAAGGAAATAACCAAGATCAGAGCAGAATTAAAGGACATAGAGATTAAAAGCACAATTCTGAGAATCAATAAATCCAGGAGCAGGTTCTTTAAAAAGATAAACAAAACTGGCAAGACTTTAATTAGACCCATCAAGAAAAGAAAAGAGAGGACCCAAAAAAACACAATCAGAAATGAAAGAAGAGAGATTATAACTGACACCACAGAAATATAAAGGATTCTAAGAAATTACTATGAAGAACTGCATGCCAAGAAGTTTGAAAACCTAGGTGAAATGAACAAATTTCTAGAAAAATATAATCTTCTAAAACTCAATGAAGAAGAAGCAGAAAACCTGAACAGACCAATGAGAGCAGATGAAATTGAGACAGTAATCAAAAAACTGCCAGCACACAAAAGCCCTGGACCAGGCAGTTTCACAGGAGAATTTTACAAAGCATTTAAGGAAGAGCTACCACTAACCTTCTCAAACTATTCCAAAAAATCCAAGGAGAGGGAAGACTCTCAAATTCTTTTTATGAAGCCAGCATCATCCTAATCCCAAAACCAAATAAAGACGTAAATAAGAAAGAAAGCAAACTTCAGGCAAATATTGCTGATGAACATAGACACTAAAATTATCAACAAAATATTGGCAAACCGCATCCAGAAATACATTAAAGAGATCATACACCATGATCAAGTGGGATTCATCCCAGGGATGCTAGGATAGTACAATATTTGAAAATCAATAAACATAGTACGTCACATAAATAAAATGATACACAAAAAATCACGTGATTATTTCAAAAGTTCTGGAAAAAGCACTTGATAAGGTAAAGCATTCATTTATCATAAAAAATAGCAAAGTAGGAACAGAGAGAGCATTTCTGAACATAATAAAGGCCATTTATGAAAGACCTACAGCCAACATCATACTCAATTGGCAAAAAATAAAAGCTTTATCATTAAGATCAGGAACAACACAAGGATGCCTGCTTTCATAATTCCTATTCAACATAATATTGGAAGACCTAGCCACAGCAATCAGAAAAGAAAAAAAAAGGCATCCAAATTGGAAAAGAGAAAATAAAACTGGCATTTTTTGCAGATGACATATAAAAGTCACGATACCATAAAAATCCTAGAAGATAACATCAACAGAAAAATCTCAGGCATTTCAGGCAGCAACATATTCACTGGTATGTCCCCTAAAGCAGGGGACATAAAGGGAATTATAGACAAATGGGACCTCATCACATTAACATGCTTCTTCATGGCTAAAGAAAAGAGCATTAAAATGAAAACAGAGCCAACCCCGTGGGAAAACATTTTTGCCAATGATACCTCAGACAAGGGTTTGATCTCCAAAATATTTAAATAACTCACACGACTCCAGTCCAGGAAGACAAACAACCCAATTAAAAAATGGGCAAAAGGCTTGAACAGACACTTCTTCAAGGAGGACACAAGGGGCCCAGACACATATGAAAAGATGCTCAGCATCACTAGCCATCAGAGAGTACAAATTAAAACTACAATGAGATACCACTTAACGCCAGTTAGAATGGTCATCACAAACAAAGCAACAAACAAGCATTGGGGAGAATGTGGAGAAAAGAGAACCCTCATGCACTGTTGATGGGATTGCAGAGTGGTACAGCCACTGTGAAAAACAGTATGGAATTTTCTCAGGAAACTGAAAATGGAACTGCCTTTAACCCAGGAATTCCACTGCAGGGATTATATCTTAAGAGCCCTGAAATACCAATCCAAAAGAACCTATGCATCCCAATGTTCATAGCAGCACAATTTACAATCGCCAAGTGCTGGAAGCAACCTTAAGTGCCCATCAGCAAATGAGTGAATCAAAAAACTATGGTACATTTACACAATGGAATTTTATGCAGCAGAAAGAAAGAAGGAGCTCCTACCCTTTCCAACAGCATGGGTGGAACTGGAGAGCATTATGCTAAGTGAAATAAGCCAGATGGTGAGGGACAAATGCCATATGATCTTACCTTTAACTGGAATATAATCAACAAAAGAAAAAAGCAAACAAAATATAACCAGAGTCATTGAAATTAAGAACAATCTAACAATAGCCAGAGGTGAGATGGAAGGCTACAATGGGGGAAAAGGTTTTTAGGAACTACTATAAAGGACACATAGACAAAACCAAGGGGGAGGGTTGAGGCAAGGGAGGGATGGATGTTTGGCTGGGGTGGGAGGCAAATGCAGACAACTGTAATTGAACAACAATAAAACAATTTTAATAAATAAATACCTGGATATGCATGGACAGCTACGTGCAAAAAAAATGAAACTCAATCACCAACTTACACCATACCCAAAAGTAAATTCAAGATGGATAAAATTTAAATATAAGTCATGACTCCATAAAAGTCCTAGAGGAGAACATAGGCAGGACAATCTCAGATACTCTATGTACCAATATTTTCACCGATATGTCCCCTAGAGCAAGGGACATAATGGAAATAAGCAAATTGCATTTCATCAAAACAAAAACCTTCTACATGTCTGAAGAAACCATAATTAAAATCAAAAGACAGCCAGTCATATGGGAAAACATTTTCTGATGATACTTTGGACAAGGGTCTGACATCCAAAATATGTAAAGAACTCATACAACTCCACTTCAGGAAGATACACAAGCCAATTTAAAAATGGGCAAAGGATTTGAACAGACATTTCAATGATGTATGTCCAGATTTGGACATAGAGAGGGCTCAGAAACATATGAAAAGATGCTCAAGATCACTGGCCATGAGAGAGATGCAAATTAAAACCACAAGGAGATACCATTTCACACTGGTGAGAATGGACATCATAAACAGATCAACAAACAAGTGTTAGAGAGGTTGTGGATCAATGGGAACCCTACTGTACTGTTGGTACAAATGCAGATTTAGCCACTGTGAAAAAGAGCATGGAATTTCCTCAGAAAACTAAAAATAGAACTACCCTTTGACCCAGCAATATCTCTGCAGGGATTATACACTATAGATTCTGAAATACCAATTCAAAAGAACCTATGTACCCCCAATGTTCATATAAGCTCAATTCACAATAGCCAACTGCTGGAAGCAACCTAACTGCCCATCAGGAAATGAGTGGGTAAAAAACTCGGGTGCATTTACACGATGGAGTACTACACAGCAGAGAGAAAGAAGTAGCTTCTACCCTTTGCAACAGCATGGGTAGCACTGGTAAGCATTATGCTGAGTGAAATAAGCCAGGCAGTGAGGGACAAATACCATATGATCTTGCCCTTAACTGCAACCTAATCAACAAAATAAAAAAAGCAAGCAAAATATACCCAGAGACGTTGAAATTAAGAACAATCTGACAGTAACCAGAGGGGAGGTGGGAGGGAACAATACGAGGAAGGGTTTTCAGGCACAACTATAACAGACAAATGTAGAAAAAACAAGGAGGACGGTGGAAGGAAAGGAGGGAGATTGGGTTGGGCTGGGGTGGTGGGAGTGGTAGTGGGTTGATGCAGACAACTGTAATTGAGCAACAATAAAATAATTTTAAAAATTAAAATAAATTTAAAAAGTTCTTTAAAGGGGTAAATTGTTTGTTATATTTATTTGAATACTTTAAAAATATAGTAAATAGTCCATTTTAAATTGGAGTCAGCTTGTACAATAGATTAAAGTTTGTTCTATATAGGGTAGAATGATGCCCTTCAACTTCAATGTGCAAAATAATCACTGTGATCATGTTAAAATGCAGGCTCTGATTCAGTAGTTCCAGGTGGTTCTCAAGATTCTGTAATTCTAACAAAATTCTGGGTGGTACAGATGCTGCCAGTTCTCAACTGGCACTTTGGGTGGCAAACTGTAGAGACCTAAGTTATACCTGCCTCAGGATAATTTTTTTTCACATTTGGGGCTTGTACAGCTTAAGGAGAGATTTCTATGTACATGTGCATGCTACTCAATTGAGAATTTTGTCCATATACAGTACTAATGACATGAGTATTCTTGTTATATATCTTTTAAATCTGTGTGGGATATTCTAAACCCTTTCTTCTTTGGGGTTCTTGTTTGTTGGTTTGTTTGTTTTCTTGAATGAGTGGCAATGGACCAGGAAGAATCCATCTGTATTTTACAGCCTAATTTTCCCTGTAGACTGGCTAATGTGAATGGATTTACCTAAGTTTCTGGATTTCTGCTGGCCATGATATGTTTCTGTAGAGCTGAAGTGGTTCCAACTCCTTCAGAGTCTCCTTTATTGGAAACAAATACTTCATAAAGATGCGAATAATTAGTTTCTGCTTTACTTTGGCTGGCTTCTCTGATAGAACTTCTTTTAGAAATTGGCAGATTAGGTAGGGCTGTAATATCATCTCACTCTCTTAACAGTGGTTCATATTGGCTGACTAGTATACCTGAAACAACAAGGGACTGGGTGGTTAACTGTTTTTCAGGTGTTATTTTTCTTGTTTCATCTATTTCCTTCTCCTGCAGGTGGTATGGATTCCGTGAGGCAAGTGTAACTTTGACCTCCAGCCTTACAGCCACAGCCTGACACCCAGTTGGGCAGGAAGGGCACCATGGATGGCTTAATTGAACAGAAGAGTGTGCTGGTACACAGTAAAATCAACAATGCTGGCAAGCGGAATGGCTTAATTCACACCAGAAACTTCACAGCTGAGAGTAGAGATGGCCTGGTGTCTGTTTACCCAACACCCCAGTACCAGAACTGTCGGGTGGTAGGCAGTGCAGCAGTTGCCACCCTGGATAGCAGGAGGAATGAGCCAGTCCAGCACCTTCTGGACCCCAGCACCCTTCAGCAGTCAGTGGAGTCCCACTACCATCCCAACATCATCCTCTACTCCGAGGGTGTGCTGTGTTCCTGGGAAGATGGTGTGGCTGCCGAATGTTGTGAGACCACATTCATTGAGGATCAGTCCCCTACCAAAGAGAGGCTGGAGTACCCTGATGGAAAGTTCATTGATCTCTCAGCTGATGACATCAAAATTCAGACCCTGTCCTATGACGTGGAGGAGGAAGAGGAATTCCAGGAGCTGGAGGTCAGAGGATGTGTTTGTGATAGGCCTTTGGGAATGGGATGTGGGAATTTGGTGGGATCTCACAAGTACCTGGCAAAAAATAGAGAATAAAACTAGTGTGAGAAAGTGAAGCATTTCTGGTGCCCCTTAACTCTTTACTATTTGTGGAAGATGAGAGGAATAGAGAGAAACTGAAGGACAAAGACCCAGTTAGGGATTCAGGAGGTTTTATGATCAGAAATCACCTAAGCTCCTAGCTGTTGGGGTACAGCTACAAATTACTTTAAAAGTTGTTTGCACTAACAAATAACTTAGGGACTCCTGCTAACAGCCCACCAACAGGAAAGATTCATGACTGGCAACAGTGGGCAAGATGAGAGAGGAGCATGTGGGCAACACAAGCCCAGAAATGCATGTGAGGTGACAATTTGGGAAGTAGTTTTGCTGCCACATATGTGTGGTTTCCTTTGCTGCCATATGTGTGGCATGGCAGTTTCTACTAAGATTCATTGGTATAGATAAAATCTTTTGTAAGTAGTAGAATCTCTAACCTAAAGGGTAGTTGAGCTGAATTATTGCAGGAATCACTCTTTCATTAAACTGCAGAGCAGGTAAGGGTATTTGGATCACATTTTTTAGAAACATACACATTGATGCAGTGTGACATGCACAACAGCCTCCTGTTGTACAGCTCATCCCTTCCTCTTTGATGCAGCTCCCAATTGAGAGGGCAAGAGTGAGCTGTACATGTCTGAACAAAAGCCATACTTTTGTCAACTAGGATGTGGGTGCCCAAGCTTGAGGAAGTAATTTCACTACCTTGAAGGTAGAAAATATTCCTCCATGACATGAATGGCAGGGGGAGAAGAGCTGGATTTTCTGGGGGAGGCTAGAGAAAACAAGAAGGAGGAGCTTTGGAGTAGAATCATACCCTCATCCATGGGGCCCCAGAGTGTGTAGAAGGCCACTGAAATCATAAGGAAATGATGAGCCAAGGAGACCAAATGTGCCAGGATTGGAAGTATGACAAAAACCAGGAGCAGCTGGAGAGAGATGTTTTTGTCAAAAGAGAAATTCAGAAATGGAAAAATAAAAACAATGTAACAATCCCTATGAATGGAGCTGAAAACCAACTGACAAGAAGCAAAGAGAAGTTACTGCAGTGGGAAAAGCTATCCAAGACCTTCATATCATTTGGTAACACCTGTTAAGCAGAAGAGAAGGATGTGAGTTCTGGCAATGCTAGAGTTTTAAGAAAGTTGGTAGCGTGCTTTGGCTTTCATTCAAAAGGCTACGTTAAGTGTCCTCTGTTTTCCAAGGTCTGAGTCTTTTGCTAAAAGCCAAATTGTAAGTGCTGCTTACATGCATAAAGTTTCAGCATAATACAGGAGTTATGTTGATGGACTACCTAGTATGTTCTGAGAGCATCTAGAGAAGGGTATGGGGCTCTTGCACTGCATCTTGAGTAGTTCTGTAAAACTCCTTTAGGAATTCTTTAAAATAAAGGTATTTTCACAGCACCATTCTTATGGGATAGCTAAGATACTCTTATTCTATTTCTGCAAAGGGAAAACAATAATGCCTGGTTAGAAGTGTCATCATATATGCAATGACTATTCTAAGGCTTATTCTTTTTCTCACTCCATGAAATCATAAAGAGGCAGGTATAAATAGCATTTACTGCATAACAAATCACCCAAAACTTAATGGTTTAAAACAATAACTACTGACTTAGCTCATGATTCTCAGGGTGAAAAATTTGAATGAATCTCAGCTGAACAGATGTTGCTATGCTGGTCTTATTTGGGTTCCCTCATTGTCCTGTGTTGTGTTAGCTACTGCTTATGTAGGCAGCTGTGCTTGGGAATGTTGGCTGGCCACTGGCTAGGGTTACATAGATGACTGGACCACATGTCTGTCATATCTAGCAGGCCACTTCACCACATGGGAACCATGGTAAGAATTCCAAGAGCAGCAAGAGGTGTGAGTCCTGGTATTTAAGGGCTTTTCAAGTCTTTGTTTGTATCTCACATGTTATGTTCTTATTGGTCAAAGCAAGGCAAATGGCTAAGCTCAAAGTCTGTGGGAAGTACTATTCAGGGTGACACTATAGAACAGTGCCAACAAGTTGGGTGTCAATACTACAGCATTCTACCACAAGACAAAATTTGGACTACTAGGCATAATTTTTTAAGATCATCTAATTGGACAGTGACAACAGCCATGCTTATATTATGACTGAAATAAAAACACACAGCACATACTGATCTGGAGCTCTTGTCAGAAGACAGTGCTACTTCAGACAAATGAAAACAAAAATTATTTTAACTTCTTGGGTAATTCTATAACTTCAGTTGTTTTATAGCAAATTGAAAACAACAGTTTTTAGAAAGCAATTGTCCTAGTTAAGAGCAGGAGCCCTTGTTGCTAGAGTTCTTGTTTACTGGACAAACTATCTCTCATATGTCCTTTTATCACTCTACATGAAGAGGTTTACCTCTGGCATTTATAATGGAAGTTTCCCTGATCCAGAGAGCTTTGCTTACCTGATACACATTTTTGAAAGAGCATACAGACTTCAGTTTGCCTTCTACATTATGGTATTAATGTGATTGGGTTCTGTAGCTAAATTCAAAACTTTTAATGGAAAGGTCTCAGAAATTATAATTTGCCTTGTTCTCCCTAAGAGAATGAGCTGTTAGTTACAGTGAAGTTAGCTGTAAGTTGTGATTTGTATCATATGAAGGGAAATCACAGGGGCCCACTGAGGGATTCACAGGAATGTAGAGGTGGCTGCTCATCACTCAATGTCCTGTACTCAGTATGACTAGAGAGGTCTCCCTCCTAGGATACCTGCAGGACAATCTTGCTGCATAATAAATTGGGCCTGGTACTGCATAGCTCCAGGGCCTCCTCCCTGGTTTTTGCCCACTATATCATCCAGTTTCCAGCTGGAAGCTAAAACTGCAGCTTACAGGAACACCAGCAAGAAACCACTTCTCCCTTTTTTATATACAAATAAACTCAGAGAGATTGCAGGCACAAATAATAGAGCAGTTGTATGGAATATAAAATTTAAGTTTAAAATTGTGAAGTGAAGTAGGTCAAGTTCAGGCTGGAGAGACTCTAACAGTCATCCTGCTATTAGAGATGCTTATTATATGTTGAATGGCCAATTATTATTCATTTATTTGTGACAATGCAAAACTTTTAGGGACTTAGAGCACATGGAAGTTATCACTTAAAAATAATGCCCAAGAGGGTTGAGCCCTTTTTTCACCAAACAAAGAAAGGCGAAGGCAAACATGTTTATGGAACATCTACTCTGTGTCAGACCCTTAATACACATTCTGCCATCCAATTCTCATGTCAACACAGGCCACTGGTAGTATTACTGTCCCACTTTGGCCATGAGCAAACCAAAGTGTGGGAGATGTCCAAGGTTGGCTTTGCTGGCAGCTCTTCAATCTCAGACATGCTGATTTCAGACTTATCTTCTAATGCCAATGCTATTCTTTCTACATTAGAAAAAATAGACTAGAGTAAGCTGCTATTTCAGAACCTCCAAATAAAGCATAAGGAGACAGAACTGAGGTAGTCACAGGACACTTCTTCACTTTTGTGAATCCTCTGCTATTGCTACCCAAGATCTTTGAGTCTGCCCTCCCAGTCAAAAATTTGAAATCTGTTGGATAGGATTTGACAAATGCAATGTTGCACTTACATATGCCTCATTCACAAATATAAACAAAGGTGGGGAGGACTCAATAGACATGTAAAGAAAACTCAAATGCATAGGTGAAACAGAACACCACCAAAAATAAAACAACTGACCCCGAGGAAAAAGAAATAATTCAGTTAACAATAAAGAACACTTTGAAAATTATTTTTAATATCCCTTCAGAATTTAAGAGGGTTAATTCGGGGGGGGGGTGTTTTCTTTTGTTTGCTGCATTACACTAGCTGGAACCTCTGATACAATGTTGAAGAGAGTAGTGAAACAAACATTTTTGCTTTGCTCCAGATCTCAAGGGTAAAGCATTCAGATTTTCATGATATAGGAGAGTGTCACTAATGTTTATAATCAGTTAAAGGAAGTTCCCGTTTATCAGAACTTTGTTGAATATTTTTCTTTTTTAAATTATTTTATTGTTGTTCAATTAGAAATGTCTGTATTTTCTCCCTACTCCTCCCCCACTACCCCCTCCAAACCCACCTCCCTCCCTTGCTTCCACCCTCCCTTTTGGTTTTGTCCATGTAGACTTGTTCCTGAAAACCCTTCTCCCCTCTGTCCCCTCCAGCTTCCCTCTAGCTATTGCTAGATTGTTTTTATTTTCAATGACTCTAGTTATATTTCATTTACTTGTTTGTTTTGTTGATTATGTACCAGTTAAAGGCAAGATCATATGGTACTTGTCCCTCACTGTCTGGCTAATTTCACTTAGCATAATGCTCTCCAGTTCCATCCATGCTGTCACATCAGATAGGAGCTCCTTCTTTCTTTCTGCCACATAGAATTCCATTGTGTAAATGTACCATAGTTTTTTGATCCACTCATTTGTTGATGGGCACTTAGGTTGCTTCCAGCACTTGGCTATTGTAAATTGTGCTACTATGAACATTGGGTTGCATAGGTTCTTTTGGATTGGTGTTTCCGGGGTCTTAGGATATAATCCCAGCAGTGAAATTGCTGAATCAAAAGGCAGTTAAATTTTTAGTTTCCTGAGGAAACTCCATACTATGTTCCACAGTGGCTGTACCAGTCTGCAATCGCACCAACAATGCACCAGGGTTCCCTTTTCTCCGCATTCGCTCAACAGTTGTTTCTTGATTTGTTTATGTTGGCCATTCTGACGGGTATGAGGTGATATCTCATTGTCATTTTAATTTGCATCTCTCTGTTGGCTAGTGATGCTGAGTATTTTTTCATGTGTCTCTGGGCCCTCTGTATTCTTTATGATTTGACATATTTTTTCCTTCATAGCTTTTTAATTTTCATTTCTTTTGAACAAGTTTGTACA